GCGCCGCAATCAGGGGCAAGTGTTTGAAGCTATGAATATTGCTGCAATTCATCGCATTCCTGTCATATTCTGCTGTGAAAATAACCAATTTGGTATGGGCACGAGCAAAGAACGTGCGGCGTACCAGCCTGAAATGTACCGTCGTGGCGACTACATTCCGGGCCTTCAGGTGGATGGCATGGATGTACTTGCTGTGCAGGAGGGAACTCGATGGGCCAAAGAATGGTGTCTCTCTGGCAAAGGACCCATTGTGCTTGAGTTTGACTCATATCGTTACGTCGGTCATTCTATGAGTGACCCTGACAGCCAATATCGCAAAAAGAGCGACATCCAGGATGTGCGCAAAACTCGTGACTGCATTCACAAGATGAAGGATTTTATGCTTGGAGAAGGAATCATGACGGATGAAGAGATGAAGAAACTCGAGAAGGATGTTAAGAAAGAAGTTGACCAGCAGCTGCTGCCAGCGGAGAAGCAGAACCCTACACCTCGAAGCGAGCTCTTTACTGATATTTACATTGGGGAGCAGTACGAGCATCGCACGACCCAAGGTACGGTGTATGCCAAGCCTTGAAGGTACTTCTTAAGGGAGTAGCAGTGGCAGCGGTCCTTAGTGGCTGAAGAAGAAATCAACCAACACGCGAAAGAGAAAATAAACAAGGCAAGCAGTAGATGATGTATGAGACAAGTGGTCCGTACGTTTTATTTTATATATTTTACTTTGTCTTATTCTTGTTCCTATTACTTTTTTTGCTGTGACTGATACGGGACAATTGTGTCAAAGATGCCGCGCAAATCCACGCTACCAGCCGGCATGGAAAGAGATCTCTCTGAAGTGGCAAATGATGAAATGTCTCCGAGGAGGCTACGACGGGGGTGGGTGAATCAAGAAGGGCGTAATGATGTGAATGGGAGCGTGAGGAAAAGCACACACACACAAAAAAAAAAAAAAAAGAGGAAGAGGGAGGGGGCGATGTGAAGAATTTTATTGTTTTCTCTGCGTTTACCGACTGCCGCCTCTTTTTGGCTCCGTCGCCCATAATCCCTCCGTCCCTCACCTCCAAAATCGCAGGGCAAATTCGATTCTGGATTTCAAGAAAGGGCATCTTTTCACGACTGAGAACGAAAAAAAGGAAAGGAATAATAAATGTTTAATGAATGGAGGGCGCAAAGGAAAATGAAAACGGAGATAAAGAAAAGGAAAAAAAAAAAAATAAAAAAAAAAATAAGAGATTCTTGAACGGCACGGGAGGGAAGTGACAATAAAAAGGTGAAGATCTACAACGGTAAAACATGAAGGGACACATATTTATTCTGTATCAATTTTGCCTCTTACTCCGATGTGCCTTTTTTATTGTGCTTCTTCTTTTTCTTTTTTTCTCTATTGTTCTCATCCATATGTGTGGTAAAGGTGTTGCATCTCTCTTTTTTTTTTTTTTTCCTGTTTCTCTCTCTCTTTCTTTTCAGGGGAGAAAGGACTTTATGGCACATTGAGTTCAAATAAAAGCAAACATAAATAAATATATACATACAAGGATAAAGAGCTGTTTTTTTTTTGTCCCAATTGGTGGAAATGAGAAGGCGGCGTGTATTCACAGGCCCATTTTTTGTCCAACATACCTCCAATTCTCCTTTTTCTTATCCGTTTATTGCTGAATTTCTGGCCCGTCGGTTTCAACGTTCCCCACCGGGCCGGTTGCGATTGCCCAAGGAGCACTCGGCAAATAATTCGTACACCTCCGGTTCGTCAGGATCCTCTTCGTCGCTGCGGCGTAGGTATGATGTTGGGGTGTTTGAGAATACGTCTGGGATGCCCATCGGTGAGGTGGAGGAAGGCCGCCGTGGGTTTCTTGGATTTGGACGCCGTGCCGGTCGCACCATGCCGGTAAATCCTCTTTCCGTTTTACGTTCACGGGAAATGGACTCAAGGGAGGACCGAAGTACAAGTCTTTTTCTTCAGGCTGTTCAGATGCTGAGCGGAAAGCGCCGTAGCCGTGATGTACGTCTGACACTTCAACTTACACCTGAGCAGCAGCAAGACATTGTTAACCGCTATGCCAGGACGCGGTGGTACGGTTTTATTTGGTATCCTTTCCGCAATGTGACAGAGCGCCAATTTAAATGGTGGCGTCGATTTGCCCATTTTGCACTTCTTATCGTTGCTTTGTTCGGTCTGGCTGTTGCGTTGGTGCTGTATTACCGTGAGGTGGAGGCTGTTCTGCGACTGAGTCCTGAGGATCGCTATGACTATCAAAAGATGGTCACGGGTATGCGCTATAGTGAAATTTACCGTCTTTCCATGGAGGTTTTTCAGAAGGAAGACCCTCTTGAGGCGCTGCCAGCGCCGGCGCGGTATCACCTTCTCATTGAGGCGGCGCGGAAAAAGGGTTGGCATCGGGTTGACTGGGAGCTTGAGTCCCGTACCCGCTACCCACGCTCATCACTCGAGGACATGGACTTTATTCACCTTTTCTACTGGTCAATAATGTACATTGGCTCCCTAGTCACGGGAGGCGGGGAGTTGTTTTCAGATCGATTTGGTGACCTCATGGAAGTGCAGGAGACGCAGCGACGTCGTGAAATGGAGGCAAACTTTGTGGAGCACGGACCAGAGCCGCCAGAAATACGCATCGGCGAAAAAGGAGGAGGAAAGTCCGCATAGTGTGTCGGTGTGAGAGACGCCTACCCTCCGTTTCCCCATTGATATGTGTTTCTGGCTTATCAGTACGAATGTAAAATGAAAGGGTGGAGGAACCGTAAGAAAAAAATAATAAAAAAAAATAGTTTGTGTCTTTTGGATTTTTCTTTGCTTTTGGTGGACACCACACGAGTATGCGTTTACGGCCATCTTATATATATATATATATATCTTCCATCAATTTTTCTATGTAAAAGGAGCTGAAGGTTACACACACACTCAAACGCCCAGGAAAAAGAGATGGCTTGCCCACGTGTGCAGTACCGTCGCCGCATGCACTACGCGACGCGTGGGAACCGCATGAAGCTCGTGCGTACTCCCGGCAACCGCCTCGTCATGCAGAAGCGCGTCAAGCGCTCGCAGGGGCCGCACACGCCATGGGTGTTGGGCCACAAGCGCCTCGCTGGCACGAAGGCACTGCGCCACACGGAGGCCCGTCTTGCTTCGCGCCATGAGAAGAGCACCTCTCGGCCGTACGGCGGCGTGCTTAGTCACGAGCAGGTGCGTGACCGCATTGTGCGCGCGTTCCTCATCGAGGAGCAGCGTATTGTGAAGCGTGCACTCAAGGCCCACGCCAAGTCGCAGAAGGAGAAGAAGCGCCGCAACTCCAAGAAGAAACGCAAGGAGGAGAAGAAGGCGGCCCTCACAAAGAAGATTGCGGCGAAAGTTGGCGCAAGGTCCGCGCTCACGAAGAAGACCACTGCCAAAAAGAAGGCGGCGTCCCGAGTTCCAGTCGGCGCGAAGGTCAAGAAGTAGTTTAGGAGGCCACTCGTTTTTCTGTCACTCGTGGGTGCTTCAATCGTTGGCTCTTTTACAGCTTTTTTTTTTTTTGATTTTCTTAAAAAACAAAAACAAAAACTAAATACGCACAAAAAAAGCAGACTTTTTTTTTGTGTGTATTTTTTTTTTTGGACCTCAAATCTTTGCTTTTATGTGTTTTTTTACTTTTTATTTTTTAGTTTTTGTGAGTGCAATGAACATGAACTTTGCTCTTTTTTGTTATTTTCTTTTGTGTTTTTTGCAGGGCACAGCCAAGTTCGATGGAGATGATCCACCAGTTGTCCCGGCAAGGGTTTTTTTTGGAAGGGAGTCTGGCGAGTGACGAGCGCAGCGCCTCGGAGGAGCGCGAACTCGTCGTTCAGAGACTCCCTGCTTCTCTCCAGGCGATGCTCCTGCGGGCCAAGCTCACGCTGACCGACGCTGAGATCCAACGAATGTCCTGCGCGACGGCTGATCAGCGGTGTGAGGCGCTTCGTATGATCTTTGAGGGTAATTCGGCGGATGAGGCAATATTATTTCTGCTTCATGAAAGCTCTCGCAACTCGACTCCAGTGTCGTCAGCGGGTCTTGCGAATCCCTCGACAAGGGCAGAAACGATGGAGTTGACGGCTACTTCTCATTCAGTGACACGCCGGTCGAATGGCGACAAAGCGTTGGGCCCGTCGTCCTCTTTGCCCTCAACACATTCCTCACATTCCCCCCGTGAAAAGGAGGAGGTGACTGTTCATTTTCCTCCTCCGCCTTCTTTGCGTTGCACCGGCATGACAAATTTCTACAGCGCTGGGGACGATAAAGATGTTAAAGAAATTTCTTCACTTCCTGGTGTGCCTTCACCGCACTCTTATCCTCAGCCAGCGCCTGCACGAGTCCTCCGTGAAATCAATGTAAATACTGCCGCTCTTTCAGAACCAATGGATTTGGCGGGGAAAATGATGGGCCAGCCTCACGTAAAATCCAAGAAGAGCCCGAGTCCGGATGTGGTAGAATATTCTCCGCCAGTTTCTGGGGGAACTCCAGCGATGACGGTTAATAAAGCAGCACAAGAGAGTGGCTGGTCAAATTTCTCACCGGTACCCATGTATCCAACCTCAGCTTGCTCAGCATGGGATGACCATTTCAAGACATTTATTGTGCATCCAAATCAATTAAAGCGACTGGAAGAATTGGAACGACAAATGGCACCCCCTGCCGTTGTACGTCCTCTCAGGGATGGAGCTTTTCGTCGCTTGATGACAGATGAGCATCGGCAATTTTCACGTCAAAACACCAAATCAGTGAAAACGCCACCCACTTCGTCTTCTTCCTCTGGGAATCATCAAAAACACACTGCCGGCTCCGGAAAAGGCGGCGCGCCCTTGACGTCACGAACGCAAAGTACGTATTACTCGCCTGGCAATGAACATGTTTCTCCGACCCCGTACGTGCCACCACTGCAGATTGTGAGGAAAAAAAAGGGTAAAGAAGATGTATTTACTCGTTTGTATAGTGTGAACTCTTTGCGGGGAACTCCAAGAGTGAGTACAGCACGTGAGAGAACATGTAGTTTATTTTCTCATGGAAGTATTACAACAGCGCGTGGCGACAAACTTCAGCGCAGTTCATCTGTTTACATTGGCCGGACCCCAAGGCAGAGGGGAGAAGTTGTGAATGCTCATCCGACGTGGTGGACAACATGCCGGCGTAGAACTTCTCATGATCAACGCTTTCAGTCCACACCCGTAAGGGTACCTTCTTCGGGAAAGCATGGGCGTGTGCTTGCGGAGTCACCTGTGACCCGGAAAAGGCCACCTGCGCCTAATTCTTTTTCTCCTGAAAGTCCTGTTCAACGGCTTCAGCGAACTGCTACCACAATAGACCGTTACTCTCGCCTAGTTGGATCCTCTAAATGGGGTGCTAGTTGTGATGCGTACGGTACGTGTTATTCAGAATCCGCCATGAAAGGAAAGCAGCGGGATGGCTGCAACATGCCTGCTTCCGCTTTAGGGAACAGGCTGAAACGCTCTTCAACCGCGACCACGTGGCGTTGAGTTGTGGTTGATACATGCTTGTACATCTTTATCTATAACTATGTGCAAATTGGTGGAATGCAAGAAAAT